GCGCGTACTACTACTACTACTACCACTACTACTACTTGTCGCTGCTAGTACGACTGCCACTATGGTGACGCTGCTGTTGTTGCTGCTCTCTGCTATGCTCATGATGCTGTCTACAACTACTATGGTAATGATTTGAGGTGTTGTGTTCGTGGTGGTGAGCATCACAGCCATGAATGAGGTGGATGTCGCGGCCTCGGCTTTTGACACGTTGACAGGTCTGGGAGTTCAAGACATATCATGCGTGTTTGGTCGGGCCTGGTAAACTTCCAGGTTTACAGCATTTCAAGAAGATGTTTGGGGCGGTCCTTCTTAATACGCACAAAACAGGTCATCTTACACATCTGTCGTGTTCTTTTTGAAGCATGGAGTATACAAGGGCCTTGGTCTTTCTCCTCATGAGAACGTGCCACAAATGGGTTCATAGTTTGGGGCTTTTCTGATTTTTTGGATCTAGGTCCAACCAGATACTTTCCAACGTATTTATAATAGCCTTCCTACACCACCCCAGAACTCAAAATTCGTTTTGACTTACCACAGACGCCTAATTTATTCCCTTCACAGTCAGTTTATTATGTCTACCCAACATCATGAATCCCAGGCCCTCCCTGACCCGGCCCCCCAGTTCTAAAAGCCTACGCCCGAAACCCCTTATCCCTAAAGATTCCTAAGCCCATAACCCTAAACCCAAAGCACTTTTGCTGAAGCCCACAAGCTCAGGATTGGGGCCACGTAGCACGGAGAGTTGTCGGCCTCGAGGTGCGTGTATCACTGGGTGCTGTAGATGCCATAATAGCTGTTCAGGGTTAAGGGTTTAGGATTTGGATAGTTGCCAAGGTATCCTTGCATAACATAACCCGTACGGATGTTCATATTCCACTGTACCCCAGAGCCTGTTCAAGTTATTTGAGTTTGAGGAATCTATACATATTGGGTGTAAGCTTGGAGAGCTTGGAGGAATAGATTTCAGCATGCTGTTTTGTGCACATTAGCAGTATTCCGAATGAGGCTGCTATAGTTGTTAAAATTGACTAGGATTGTGTTCTCCTTTTTGCCATACTATCATGCAGCAAGACTTGAATCTTACTTGGTCCAAGCTTCAAGACATTACTCGCATAAGTGGTCGCGGGTGATTGTATCAGGAGGTGAGGAGGCAGTTTTTGAATAATCCATCTTTCAAACACCCCCCCCGACCACCCCCCAAAGAATCTTTATTCGGTGTATCTAATGCAAGTTCTTCAGGTGTACGTGTACCATTTGTTTGCACCAGATTGGGAACCATGCGAACCCCACCATTATTACTAATATCTTTCTTTTTAATTGCCATTAGTTTCATTTTGCGATGGTTTGCATTCTCATCTTTACTTGCAACAGCTTCCAAACCTCAGCCCAAAAAGTTGCGGTAGGCGGGCGCTGTCGGCGCTTTCGCAGCATACCGCGGAATGGACGGCATGGAGGTTACAGTAGGCCTGCAAGGGCTCATCTGCCAAAAGCTGGGTGCAGCTTATGAAGGGTTGTATAGGGATCAGGGTTTATTTGGGCGTTATATCGGCTTTATGTAGGGGGCCACATATGGATTATATGTAGGGTTGTTTTTCTCCAATGATGAATGATGGATAATCACATGGAACGCAAAATTGGAAGACGAGATGGAAGCTGGGATCGAGGGTTTTGGATCTAGGTAGGGTTATGTGAAACACTAGTCACTAGAGTCATTTATAATATTAGCTATAGGGGATGTAGCTGGAGATAACTTGAGCATTTTCCCACCCAAGCTGGATGGGACTCTGTCAAAGTTGGGCTTCTTTGATGTGCTCTGTGGAATCCAAGAGTTTTGAGAGGCTCCGTTCCTTGGATCACTCTGATAAGGTCTTATGCACCATGGGTTCTCCAGGGTCAGGGTGACGTAAGTAGATTTGTAAAGCCATGCTATGAGGCATGCATGTTTTCCCCAGTTATCCTGATTATGATCCCACTTACTAAGTTCTTCCGACGCCCTAAGTAAGAGGCGTTTCATTGATGAACTGCACTTCAAAGGTAACAGCTGGCAGCCGGAGCGAGCAGCGGCCGTTGCAGGGTACACACGATTTTTGTGATGCCGCCATCAACCCTAACATCCTAAAATCCCAAAACTCTACAGCATAAATCCCTCTAACCCCAGTGAGGACGCCGATACAAATCAGATTGGTAGCAATAGGCATGACTGTTAAAGTTCCAAATGTACTAGCAAGGGTGGACGAAATCATATTAATTGTAGTGGTAACGGCAGGAGCACTGCTGGGTGTGCTGCTGGCGATGCGGTCGCTCAAGCTGCTCAACGCGTCCGGCGCTCGTTGCAGCATATGAACTAGCGTCTCAACTTCCAAAAGGGGGTTACATACGGGAATATATAGTGGAATACTAAAGGGATACTAGGAGTTTAGATTAAGGCTCATATGTGTAGTAGTTTAAATGATTGGTACTACAGTCCTCAATACACAGTACGATTAGGTCCCCCTTTTGCATATAGTTTTTTTACAACAAGACCTGAATCTCACTTTTGCATCCATCAAGAAACACAACCCCTACAGGTTCATCCGAACAGGGCTCTCCCCAAACCCAAACCCTAAACCCTGAACCCTAAACCCTAAACCCCTAGTTCGTTTAAATCTGGGCCTGCCATTATTTCCGTTTGAGGCGTTGAGGCAGTTTGGGATTTACAGTTTGGACCAATTATTTAGGCCCAAACCCTGCAGTTCCTCTATAAGCCATAGTCTGAACCCCTTCAAGGGGGGTTATATAGGGGATCATGTAGGGGACGATCATAGGGGTTATTAAGGGGGACACTAGGAGTTTAGACTATAGCGCATATGACACCCACACAAGCCCAGCTTTCATTTCATAATTCTTTTTAAAGCCATTGGGCACCTCTCTCGGGTTCACGGGCGAGCTCCGTATAAAGCAGCGTCAACATGCCGCAGTTGTAAGATATGCGCCTACGGGGTCATAGTCCTAGCTCTTTGCTATGGTAAGGGTTTTGGGTACCTGAAACCGACCTTAACATCAATATTGGGAATAGTTCAGGTTTCTACATTACACCACGCAGTCTGAGATGGATGCAATGCTAAGCTCCAAACCCTCAACCCTCAACCCCCAACCCCAAACCCTAGTCCGGCCCTAAACCCTAGAGCCTCAGTCCTAAGCCCCACAACCCATAACCTTAAACCCTCAACCCTGAATCCCCAAACCCTTAACCGTAAAACCTTAACCCTAAACCACATGAATGTC